CTCTCTCCCCAGCTAGGCCAGCACATGGCTCAGGCACAAGGATCATCTTTGTTGCACATAGGAATAAATGAACAAGTGAATCCAGGGGTGAATGAACAGCCAAACAAAATGGTGGGGCACAGCTTGAGTCCCCATTCCTGAGGCTCAGCTGTCTCTCCATGGGGAAGCTCATTGTCATGCAGCGGTCACATACAAGAGAAATGTCAATTTCACACAGGTAAGCTACCATCCGCTGTTATTTTAACAACTAAAATGAATCTGATGTAAACTTAATATAGTTTTATAGTCTTGAGCTTGTGGAAGTCACTTCTATTATCTATCCATTACCAAGCCCTGTTGATTTTACCACCAAAAGAAAAAAAAAAAGCCACAGTGATTGCCTATCTTCTGGAGATATAAACGGTTTTACTCTAAGTATCTGAAAATACCATGTATTATGTCTGCAGCAGAATTTGAGTAAATATTGGCATTACTGATATTAATGTATCTTTAAACGCCCCACAGCGTATCAAAACCCATTCTTTTGGCTTCTTCTGCCCCTTCTCCCAAGGTTGTCTATCAAAATTTAATTAACCTTCAAGGCCCAGCTCAAAAATCACCTCCTTCAGAAAGACTTCAACAGTCTGCTGGAATTACGGGGCCAGCCCCAGGTTCACTTGAGCTCTACTGCACATGACCGTAAGTCATTTGTGGCTCTACTTAGCCCTTCTTTCTTTAGTCTGCAGGGTCCAGCTGCTCTGTGTCCTTCCCACACTGCTCTGTGGGCAGCTCGAGCCCAGGGACCACGACTCGCTCATCTTTCTGTCTTCCCAGTGCCTTGAACAATACTCATATTCCGAACTGAAATATGTTAGACTACTATTTTGCTATGCTACGTAAACCACCATTTTTGTGTGTCATAAGGTGACTTTTTTTCCCTAAATAGTTGGGGCATCCGGCTTTTGCCCCAACCCCCGGCCATGGCGAGGTTCTAGCAGCCCTAGCTGAGAGCCCCATCCAGCTTCTTGCTCTCACCCCCATGAGCCATAGCAGAACATAGAAGAAACAGCTGTCCTTGCTCTAGAATTCATTTGGGGAAAAATTCAAGCTGTTACCTTTTGAAGTGGAATGGGAGTCAGAGGTGAGCCCTAGCCAGTGAGCTGTGTGGGAGGAGAAAGAAAGGTTTGCAGTGAGCCAGGCCCATGGCTCTCAGACTTGTTTTGTCAAACAGCAGGCAGGCTCCCAGCACAGACCTGGGCCTCGGGGGCCACCCTGCCCACCTTCTTCCGTGGGTCCCTTGGGTGGTGGGACAGACACAGGGCCTTCCGAGCATCTCAATGCCACTAACACCTGGAGCAAAGTAGAGACAATCCCTCCTTTTCCCCCTCTTCCATCCCCACAGGAGATCATGCTCATGGTCTGCAGGGCCCAGCCCTAATGCACATGCCACAGAGACAGGAGCAGGAAAGATGGAAATCCAGCCCAAGAACACTGACTGCTTTGTGCCTGAACTGTGCCTTGTACAAACCTCTCCAGACTGCAAACATTCCAGCTCATCCATCAAAGTGTGTAATGCTCAGCCACATGCTGTTAGAACCCAAAGTGAGTCTCCGAGCACCTGTGATGCTCCTGTGCCCCTGCTTCAGGTCACCGTGCCAAGAAGGAAAGTCATTGGGGGCAGAGCAGAAAGGTGCTGCTTGATGGCAGAGAGCCTGGGCTCTCCCACATACGTGATCGGGATATTAAATGAGATGATGTAGGCAGAGTGCTTAGCAGAGTAGGTGGAACTTAGCTCTTAAGGAAGGCTTCCCCTCTGACTCTGCTGGAAGGCCTGCCCCCATGCCCTTCATGCACCTAGAAGCTTCCAGGATGGGTGAGGATCAGCAGAAGGGAAATCCTGGGGAAAGGGAGTGCTGAGCTGGCCATCTGTGCTGATGGGAGTTTCCTGAGGGGGCATTCCAGAACACACTGATGGAGGCCTCCACAGCTGTGTCGATAACCCTCCTTCCTCCTCCGGGACAATCTGGCCCTAGACACCAGAGCAATTTTCAAAACTTTTCTTTCAAGCGTATCTCTTCTCCTCTCCTTTCAGAAGCCCAATTGTAACACCAGAAATAGACCTACTGACCTTGCTCATGGGCAGACACGTGCTGCCCAGGGGCTGGCAGCATCTCCTGGATAAGGGAATTCTCTGCCTCCTCTCTCATAACATAGACATTAGCGTTTTAGAAACCCTCTATGTGTATTTTCCACCTAGCCATGTATCTTAGAAATCATTCCCTGTCAATTATGGAGAAACTTCCTAAGTCTTTTTTTTTTTTCTTTTTTAAATAATAGGACAGTATTCAACTACCTGGAGGTACCATGAGATTTAAAAAAAAAAAAAAAAGTCCCTCTTGGACGAGCACGTAAATTGTTCTTTCAAATGATGCTATACTGTGCGTGTCTTTGTGCCCAGAGCCAATACAAGGGCAAGCTCAATTCCTAAAAATGGAGTCACTGGGTCTGACGGTGGGCACTTCTAATTTTGGGAGAGGTTTCTAAAACACTCTCCAAAGAAGTTGTACCCATTTTCTCTTCCAACAGTAACACAGGAAAGGGACTGTTTCTCCAGGATTTCATCAGCATTTTATCAGTCTTTTGGATGCTCATTGAAAGTAAATTGCAGTTTACACTTTACCTATTAAAGAATCGATCTTCTGTGTACAGTTAAACCCCTGAGTCCTCGAGGGAATGAAGAGCACGTAGTTTTGGGTTTTTTTTTTTTTTTTTTTTTACCAGGCCAGCACTTTCCCTAAAGCCTAACAGGACCCCAGCATCCCATCCCATGGCTCCAGATTTTCAGCTTCCACACCCGACTCTGTCCTTAACAGGAGGAGACCAGCATCGTGGAAGGAGCAGGGCCTTTGGAACTGGGAGACCCGGCTTCACGCAGCAGCTCTGCCACTGACTGGCTTGATGCTCTTAGCAAATAATTTAACTTCTCCCCAACTCCGTCTCCTCTGCATGAAATACGGAGATAATCATATTGATTTTTCAAAGCCTTGTGTCTGGCACAGAGAAGGGACTTAATAAGTAGCAGCAGTTTTCATTAGTGTTAATGATCATCAGGCTAGATTCGAGACCTCAGGGCACTTTTCACAATTGACAATACCTGGAATGGCCCAGCCAGTGCCGTTCTGTTAAGAAGCCACCCAGACGACTCCCAAGTTCTGCTCCGATCCATCCCAGCCTCCTTCCAGAGTTACCGGGAGAGGCCACTACAATCCCACCCCAGGTCTCTGGGTGAGGGTGGGCGTTTCCTGGGGCCCGATGGCTCTGTTGTTGCCAGAGCTTGTCTGCACTCAGCCCCACAAATCTCTGGGCCAAGAGGAGCTCATTTCCAATTACAGACCCATCTGCTGGAGACAAAACAGAGATCCTTGAGCAAAGTAGGAGGGACTTGCTCTCATCAGCCCTGGAGCCCATTCAGTTTTTCCTCAGCAATTTTTGATAAGGGCACTAAAGGCAAATTTCTAGTTCTGGCAAGAATGCCAAGGATGCCCACCACTGGGGTTTCTGTGTGTGTGACACAGACATCCTCTCCCCAGCCCAAAGGACTTCAGAGGCTTTTCTCATTCACACTTGGTCTTCTCTCATTTCATCCCCCAGGTGGCAGAAATTATAGCCATGCTCCTCATGAGGGGGGGACTGTGAGGAGGGGGCTGCGATCCCCCACAACTGGTCCACCCTGGGTGCCCACTCCACCCCCCCCATCTCTACATGCTGGTTTAGATCCTCGCAGGCACTGCAGCTGGAACCACTGGAGTGAGGTCTGAGAAATTACCGTCGCTCTCCGAGAAGATACCTCTGCTCTTTCTTCCCCTTCATCGGCCTCTGTCAGTTTAAAGGAAAGGGGCAGGAGCTGCATGGACTCCCGAGTACTTCAGGAATACAGAAAGGAAGCTGCCTCCCCCGCCCCCACCTCGCCCCCAGGAAGACTCCAGATCCCAGCGAATCTCAGGCAAAGTGCTCTTGCCAGACCTGAAGTCTCCCCCCGCCCCCTCCCGTTTGTCTCTCACGCGGTATAAAACGTGGGTCCGGCTCCGCCACCGGAGGACCCGACACAAGGCACAAGAGATACGACCGCGTAGACGTCAACCCCTGCCAGTTACTCTGGCCCCCCCAGCCTTGCGGGCGAGAACCCCCAGCTCCATCCGGGTCCTCCGGCCAGGCCACGAGTGTGGCCCCCGGATGAAGGAGGGTCCGGGGCTGGGCAGACTGGAAAGAACCGGAGAAAGTGCCTCCGCTGACTGCGGGGGGAGGGGCCTGCCTGCCCCCGACCCTCGCCTCAAACTTGCTAGAAAGAGCAAACTTTCAGGGCCCCACAATTCCACCCAGAGAAAAGGGATGCCCAAGTGTGACAGAAAAGCACGTGTGGTGTATGCAACCCAGGGACACCGACGGAGAAGACCGATCTCCACCCCTGCGCTCCCCGGTCGCCTTAGGCAGCGCAGAGACCGGAGGAAGCCACCCAGGCAGGAGGTCTCCCGGGAGCCGCTCCGGGCGCTCTCTCCGGGCCACCCAGCCAGACGGGTGATGGGGACGGGAGCACTGCCTTGCCCTGCTTCTATTTGGGCCAAACCCTCCTCCGGGCCGCTGAGCGAAGCTTCGATGTGGCCCGGCGCCCCCAGCGAAATCCTCCGCGCACCGCCCGGGGGAGAGCGGTGCGCCACGCCGCCTCCGGCCTCGGGAGCGAGCAGACAGCGGCCCGGGTGAGAGTCCGGTTTCTCCGTCCCTCAGGCAGACGTCGGCCCTGGTTGCCTTGGAGATGGCGACCCTGAGCCGCGAACGCACCTCCGCCCTCCTTCCGTGGTCAAACTTCAGCAAAATCCCCAGCAAACCGCACCCAGGTTGCAAGGCTGGCGCAGAGGCGCCCGCGCGCTCCGAGGCACCCGGACGCACGGACCGACGGCGGTGGCGCTGCCCGCGGACCCTGCACCCACCCGCCGCGGTGCTCAGCCCCGGCCCCGCTCACTCACGCGCGCCGGACGGTCCCGCCGAGTGTGCAGCGTCGCGAGCCGAGGCCGCCGCATGCTCCCGGGAGGTCGTGGGCGCCCGGGCGCAGCAGCCGCGTCGGTGTGCGCACCGGCCAGGGGAAGGCGCTCGCGGAGCGGGAGCGGGCCGCAGCGGCGCAGGCGGGGACAGGAGCCCCGCAAGTCCGGCCCGGAGGCGGAGACAGCGCGCCCAGCGGCCTGGCCACGAGGCCGGAGACGTCCACCCCCACCCCCTCGAAGCACGCGGCTGCAGATGTGGAGCCGGAGAGCCGAGCGCGGACCCAGACCCGGCCCGGCACGGTCACGGTCAAGATAGGGGCGTGCGGGGAAGGCGGCCCCGGGGCTCGCTGCCACCGGTACTAAGGCGCCCTCGGAAGTACGCCCCGGCCCGACACTTCCCCGCGCGGAGCCCGGCACCCCGCGGGATCCTCGGCCCGCCCCCGCTCCGCTCCCTCCCTCCTTTTCTTCCTTCCGGGAGCCTCGGCTCCAAGAGCGCCCTAACCCGTTACCGCGGCTGAGCAGCTTCGCTCCGGCGGCCGCTCCCGGGTTCGGCTGGCACCGGGTCTGCGCGCGTCCTTCCGGGCGCCCGGGCCTGGGGCTGCCAGAGCGACGCTCCTCTGCGTTCCCCGGCGCTCCGACCACTGGCCCCGCACGGAGCCGAGAACCTCATCGCCCCTCCAGGTGGCCGGGGCTGGGGGCAGGTACCGAGCCACCTGATTGGCGCTGGCCCCAGTCCTGGGAGAATCCCCCACCCGAGAGGCCGCTTGCACCAAGGCGAAGGGAAGGGACAAAACGGCGCAGGCTGGTGCCTTCCAGCGAGTCCCTTAGCTCCGCTGTTCTTTCGCCTAAGAAATGTGAGTTCAGGAGTCGGCGCCCTAAGAACTTCGAGAGCCACAGCTCAAGTCTAGCACGGAAAATCCTGCAAGAATGATAGTTTTAAGGAACAGGGAGTGTCGCTGTCCCCTGGACTTTGCCTGGAGAGCCTCCCGAAAGGCTCCTCTGTTTCCCTATTTCTGGCCAGCGCTGGTCCCTGGAAGTCCAGTCACACCTGGATGTCCCCGCGGTGGAGGGACACCGCGTCCTTGTAGCGGGGCAGGGAGGGAGTAAATGCAAATTAGAATTATGACGGCGAGATCTAGCAGGAAAAGGCATGAAAGGAGACGCAATGTCGTCCTCTTCCCCCAACACGAGGAGAAAACGTTAACAGTGCTCTAGATTTCTTCTCTGAAATCACCATCCTGTAATGTTTTCAAGCTCTACAAGTTGCTTATGTGCTGTACCCGCCCCCCCCCCAAACCGTAAATTCTGACATCAGTCTGCTTGGAGAACATGGCGGGGCGAAATGGAAGGAAACTCACTTTTTCGCATCTCCAAAGCATCTCATTATGGAACTTTTGCCTGTTCCGGTGTGTTCATTCCACACACACACACACCCACCCCAGACCCTACTCGTCAGGCTTGGACTAAAGACAGGGGAAGAGGGAGGGAAGGAGGGAGAGGGTCACCCAAGTTAATGCTCAAGGTCGGGGGCGGGGTGGGTGGGCTGTTCTTATCAAATATGTTTTCCTCTTCATACTCTGGACAGTCTGGAGGATTCAAAGCAAACATGAACATTTTATCAATTTCTGGAGAGAAGGAAAAACACTGGTCCCTCAGTCCAGGTCCAACTTGTAAAGGGGAGGAGTAAGAAATTTAGCAACCTTTATTATTCAACTTGGAGCAACCTTTATTATTCCTAAAGCACTCTGAAAAATACGCATCTATCCAAAGGCAAGCTACACACCCAATGGGTCCAGCAGGCTTCCTGTTGCTTCCAACACTCCACGTTTTTCCTCTTTCTCTTTACAGGTTTCAAATTTGCTCGGATCATCACGCGCTGCCTTTTCTCACACAGTCAAACCTCACACCCACATTCTTTCCTCGTCTCAATTCTTCTCAAAGGCAAAGCTGCAATATAAAGAGATGTGTTATTTTCTTAGGCACAATTACACAGAGAGAGAAAGAAGCCAGGTGCAGCCTGAGCCACCATCATAAATCAAACCTGTGTACTCAGCCAGGTCACTGACCTCACCCTACCACTGGCCCCATTCCTCTTCCTAAACCCTTCCCTTCCCCTAAAGCAAGGGCCATCCTGACTTCACGGTAGTTACCTCATGTATGTCTGCCCAAACACGGTTGTGTTTGCTTAGTTTTGTACTTTATGTAAATGATAGAGCGTGAATTTTTTTTTAAGATTTTATTTATTTGACAGAGAGAGAGAGATCACAAGGAGGCAGAGAGGCAGGCAGAGAGAGTGGGGGAAGCAGGCTCCCTGCTGAGCAGAGAGCCCGATGCGGGGCTTGATCCCAGGACTCTGGGATCATGACCTGAGCTGAAGGCAGAGGTTTTAACCCACTTAGCCACCCAGGCACCCCTAGAGCATGAATTCTTTGTGTGTATCTGGCCTCCTCTTTCATTTGGTTATGTTTGTGAGGTCATCCATTTTTGTTGTATGTTGTTCTCATCGGGGCTATCACAAATAACACTGCTAACCGCATTCTTGTACGCATCTCCTGGTGTGCAGAAGCAAACTTCTCTTTAAAGTATACACCTTGCAGTGCAATTGCTGGGCCACAGGCTATGCCCATATTTAACTTCATTAGATAATGCCAAGTTGTTTACCAAAGTGGTCATAAAATTCACACTTCCACCAAATATGTATTTTGCAGTCACTCTACATTCTTGCCCAGACATCTTGTTAGACTTCTTAATTTTTGTCAATCTGGTGGCTATGTAATGATATCAAACCTGTGAACTTCATTTCATATCCCTAATTACCAATAAGATGGTGCACATTTTTATGTACTTAGAGCCTATTTGAATTTTCTGTTTTGTGAAGTGCCTGTATAAATCTTTACCCATTTTTCTACGGAGTCATCAAATTTTTTTTTCTTGTTGATCCATAAAGGTTCTTTGTATATTCTAGCTATATAGAATGTCACTTTGTCACTTATAGATTGCAAGTATCTTCTCCCCTTCATTAATCTTCATCTTTTGATCAGGAATAATTTTTTAAAGGGGAATTTTCATTGTGAGATCACTATAAATTCAGAAGTAATTTTAAGAAATTATGCAAGGGTCCTAGGTACCCTCACCCAGTTCCCCTCATTGCTACTGTCTTGCAAAACTATATCACACCCAGGAAATTGACATTTCCAGAGTCAGAACATTTCTATCAGCACAAGAATCCCTCAGGTTTCCTTTTAATAGCCACACCCACTTCCCCCTCCCCAGCCCTAACCCCTGGAAACCACTGGTCTGTTTACCATTTCTAAAACTGTGATTTCAAGAATAGTAAGTAAATGAAATAATACGGTATGTAAGCTTCCCCCCCACACACACTCAGCATAATTCTTCGGGGATTGATCCAGGTTTATTAATTGGATGGTATGGATGTACCAAGACTTATTTAACCATTCATTCACTCACTGAAAGACATCTGGGTTTGTTTTTTTTTTTCCAGTTTTGAGCAGTTATAAATCAAGCCGCTATAAATATTTGTGTGCAGGTTTTGGTATGAACGTGAGTTTTCATGTCTCTGGAGTGAATGCCCAGAAGTGCAGTTGCTGTACTGTGTGGTAGTTGCACACTTCCTTTATAAAAGAGATTGCCAACCTGTTTTCCAGAGTGCCTTTTTGGACTCACACTGGCAATATATGAGGTACCCAGTTTTTCCACATCCTTGCCAGCATTGGGTGTTGTCACTGTTTTTAAAAAATTTAATCCATCTTCATAAATGTATAGTGACAATCTCACTGTGGTTGTAATTTCCATTCCCCTAATGACTAATAATGTTGAACATCTTTTCATGTACTTACTTGGCATCTGTATTTCCAAATATGTGCTCTCTTTGGGGAAATGTCTGTTTATGCCTTTTGGACATTTTCTTTTTCTTTTCTTTTTCTTTTTTAAGATTTTGTTTATTCATTTGACAGACAGAGATCACAAGTGGGCAGAGAGGCAGGCAGAGAGAGAGGAGGAAGCAGGCTCTCTGCCGAGCAGACAGCCTGATGTGGGGCTCGATCCCAGGATCCTGAGATCATGACCTGAGCGGAAGGCAGAGGCTTAACCCACGGAGCCACCCAGGTGCCCCCTTCTGGACATTTTCTAATTAGATTGTTTGTTCTTTTACTCCTGAGTTTTGATAATTCTTTACATATTTTAGATCCTAGTTATTGGGTTTTGTTCTTGTTTTTTTATTTTGTTTTTTTTTGTTTTTATTTAGAGAGAAAGTGCGACGAGCAGGAGGAGGAGCAGAGGGATAGGGAGAATCCTAAGCAGGGTCCACACTCAGCCCAGAGCCTGAGGCTAGGCTCCAGGAGGCGCTCGATTTCACAACCCTAAGATCATAACCTGAACCAAAATCAAGTGTCTGATGCTTAATGAACTGAGCCACCCAGGCACCTGGAGATCCTAATTTTTTTTTTTAAAGATTTTATTTATTTCTTTGACAGAGAGAGAGATCACAAGTAGGCAGAGAGGCAGGCAGAGAGAGAGGGGGAAGCAGGCTCCCCACAGAGCAGAGAGCCCAATGAGGGGCTCGATCCCAGGACCCTGAGATCATGACCTGGGCCAAAGGCAGAGGCTTAACCCACTGAGGCACCCAGGAGCCCCGATCCTAGTCTTTTTGCAGATACATGGTTTGTAAATATTTTCTCCCATTCTGTAGATTGTCTTTCATCCTCTTTACATGGATTTTGCAGAGGACTTTGTAAATTTTGATAAGGTCCAGTTTTTCAGTTTTTCTTACTGTGGGTCATGGAATTTCTGTCAAGTCTAAGAACTCTCTGCTTAGCCCTACATCCCAAAGATTTTCTTCCATTTTTTTTTCTCTTTCATGTTTTACCTTTAAGTCTGTGACCTGAGTTAATTTTAATATAAGATGTGAGATTTTGGTTGAGTTTTTTTTTTTCTTGCCTCAGTATGTCCAATTGCTTTAACACCATTTGTTTAAAAACTCTGTCTTCCATTGACTTGCCTTTACACCTTTGTCAAGAACTTGTTAGCATACTTGTGTGAGTCTATTTCTGGAT